GCACTGTCCTAGCACACAGAAGAGTTTTACTCTCCCTGGACAGGGTGCTAGGTGGGCAGGGGTCAGGCTGAAGGTTAAGGAAATGCAACAAGCAGAGCCTCTGAAGTTACAAGGGCCTCCAGACACCTCCACTTCTTGCCTCCTCCAGGGCTAGAAAGGGATCCCACCATCTGTCTTGTAGGGTCCCTGGCTCCTGCTGGGAGAAGGAGATTGGATCAGGCAGGAAGCCCTGGAGGCTCCCAGGCTCAGCTCCGTGGGTGGGAGGGAGCTGTGGCCCCTCCTGGTCTGCCCTGAGTCTCACGGCTCACCCAGCGAGGAGCGCCGGGGCTACACTCTCCGAAGGAACTGCAACTCAGGGCCCTGGGAAGGGCCTGGCTTGCTGCTTGGCCCTTGACTCACCCTGGTCGATGGAGTGCGGTGGCAGCTGGCTGAGTTGGCTGTTGACCACCCCGGCATAGGTGCGCAGAAACTCCTCCTCACTGGCCGTCAGCTGCAGGGCAAGAGCGCTACAGTGAGGGGCAGCAGACACCTGCTTCCGAAAGGCACCAGCATTCCCAGAGGCACCCGCCCAGGCCCACCTGATCCCTGGGTGGTGCCTCCTGTGCTCCCCGGGCCTCTGCTCCTGAGATTTGACCCTTTCGGTTCCAGGATAAGCACACTCCCTCCCGCCCCTGAAACTTGGTCCATGGGGCCTACAGGCCTTGCCACTCGGAAGGGGTCTGAGGTCAGAGTCTAGTCTAGTGCAGTGCTGGTGGAAGACATAGGCCCCACGTGGAAAGCCGACGGGCAATTCCACAGCCCTCCCTCTCTTTTTGAGAAATCCCCCGCACCAGCCTGTCTGCTGCCCCTCTGTGCAGGCCTGCCCAGTTGCCTGCCAAGAGGACACTCTCGGGGGTCGGGAAGCAGGGGCAGGAACGGAAGGTCAGGGCCTTCAGACGCTCCCATACCCGGCCCCAGCAAGGCATGACGGTGGGAAGACTGCCCAGCAGTGCCCCCAGAACTGGACATGCTGGGCTCTGGGCCTTCGGGGCCTCGAGTGGCCACGGAGCCCAGCCACAGGCCCAACGGCCCCCTCCTCAGACCACGGCGCCTCAGGGTGGCTGCAGTCCCCTCCGCTCTCCCCGGGGCCTGCTGCTCGACACTCACGTTTGATCCCATCTTCCTCAGCATGAGCAGCACCCGGACCTTCTGCTGAATGTACATCTCCTCCGGACTCTTCCCGGGAGCTCCCTCACGGTTCATCCCCCTGGCCCAGCTCTGGGGACTCCTGCAGGGTGAAATGCGGCATCGAGTGGGGAGGGGTCGAGATGGGACCTACTGGGACGCTGACACCTGCGGGGCGACCCACACCCTTCTCTAGGAGCCCCTTTCCACCGCGGGCTCATTTCTGAGTGCATGGAGCAGCTGGCAAGTTGCTGGGTTCCTCCCTTGCCCTGCTGGTCCTGGGGACCGAGCGGCTCTGTTTCAGAGCGGGCACTGCAGGGGCTGGTCCGCCCGCCGCTGCTGTGCGTGGAGCTGTCAGGCCCAGGGAGGCTGAGCTGACTCAGACCTGCTAGCCGGCTCTACCTGCCAGCCACCTGCATGCAGCAAGCCTCGTGCGACAAGCCCAGGCCGTGTGGTGCATGAAGCCCCAAGTGTCTAGGTTTTCAAAGCAAGCAACTTCCACAAGGAGCCAAAGTGACAGGAGTGGAGGCAGCCTTTGGCTCGAGAACCCGTGAGATCCATGCCCAGCCCCCAGACACCAAGATGGCTCCTGCAGCAAAAGCCCCTGATGAGTTGGAGGCCCACTCCTGGGCTGGGCTCCAAGGAGTCCCTCGATGGGGACAGGCTGGCCCAGGGCTGTGAAGCTTGCTGCTGCCACCCTCAAAAACCCACCCCACGGCCAGAGGGAGGCTCCTGAGGGCACCTGGGAAGGCCAGCGGCTGTGTCCAGGGGCAGCAGAGACCTGACCTGCTGAAAGTCCCCAGGAGAGAAGTCCGGAGTTTCCTTCCTCCTGGAGGAGCCGGAGGAGAGGAGGCCGGGTGTAGAGGGGCTTGGGTTACACACGGGTAACTCCTGGATGAGTCAGAAATAACGCAGCAGCTGGTGGGGTGGAGCCTTATCAGCCCTGGTGCCAAGGAGCTGCGCTGGGAGACCCGGGGAACTGGGCTGCTGGGCCAGGGACACTTCTCGCACCGTCCATCCCTCCGGGGCCAGTGAGCCCTGGACCAGCAGGCTCTCCCGGGCAGGGCAGCTCTCCACGCAGGGTGGATTTGGAAACGTGCCCAGCCTGGGCAGCGGCCTTCCTCCTGTGGGTACTTATCAACCGCTCACGTCCCGTGAGCTAACAGGGCCCTGGCCGTACGAGCCCACGCGACAGGCTGAACGCCCGGCCGGCAGGGCTCACGCAGCAGCTGTGTGCTTGACGCGGTGCAGATGTCTGTCCAGTGCCTTCCTTTCCACCCTGGAGCCCCAACTCCCTCACTCTGCCGCTGCCCCCGTTCCACCTCCTCTGAGGCTCAGAAAAGGGCCTGGTTAGCGGCCAGGGGCTGGGAAGGAGGACTAACATACCTCATGAGCAGTCTCCGATGAGAGGTTCCCCCCATACTCCCCCGGGCGGGTGTACCCCAGGGCACGGACGGCCCTAACTTCCTGCACAGCTGACCGGGGGCGGGGGGGCTCCCTTCTGGGTTTCACTTCTCCTCACGTGGACCCACACTCACTTCCTTCCACTGGGCTGCACTCCACACACCCCACGGGGTGAACCCTGCCCCTGGGCTTGAGCACTGACAGTGTGGTCTCCCCCTCTCCACCTGGGTCCCGGCTACTACGTGGCCTTCCCTGTGATCCCCCACTGCCTTCCTTGTCCTTTTCTCTATATAGTAGCCAGAATGATCTTAAAAAAAAAAACAAAAAAACACAGAACAGATGATTCCCTGCTTAAATCTACCTGAGAATACATGAATACACTTCACAGTCTTTGCCAGGACTCTGCAAAGCCCTGCACGATCGGCCCCCTCTCCTCCTTCCTCCCCTTGCTCTGCCTTCCTGGTCCCCAGGTCTGTTTCTAGAACATGCCGAGAAGCTCTCTCCCCCTGGCAGCCTTTGCGCTGGGTGCCCCCTCGGCCTGAAACTGGCTTCTTCGTCTGGGCTTAAAGATGGCTTCCCAGGGAAGCCTTCCCTAACAGCAACACTGAGCGGCAGCCCCGGCCCACTGGCCCTACATTCTGAAAGGGCCCTGCTGGCGTACTTCCTTACTGTCTCTCTCCCTGCCCCGCTGCAGGGCAGGGCCCCACCTGCTTTGCTCACTCCTGTCCTCATGGAGCCTAGCACCTGGCAGCAGCCCGGCTGGCTGAATGGAACAGCCAGACAGTCTATGGTGTCTAAGCCTCCCCCTCTCTACAACATCGACATCTATTTAGGGCCAAATACCATCGTGTTAAAAGAGACCAACGTACCTAACCCAGTCTGCCATAAACAAATTTAGCTTTTCCAAAGGACTTTGATTTTCAAAGTAGTATTCCTTGGGCTATTGGGCTCGCCAAAGAACATCTGAAATGCTCCACCCATAAAGCCTTCAAGCTGAGAGTTAGGGCTTCCAGGAGTGAAAATCCTCCAATGCTGTCCTAGGCCCAAGGGCTAGTTGCAGTCTGCTCCATCCCGGTGAAAGACAGAGTGGAATGCACGGGATGGCCACTAGGTGTCACCACACACAAAGCACCAGAGTTGCAGTCGGTGCCCTGCCCACCCCCAGCAGGCTCACTCACAGAGGGCTCCTGACCACCTGGGGCCAGCAGCTGAGTGTTTGGCCATTGTGGGACTCGAACATCCCTGCTCCAGCCATCCTGATTCCAATCCTACCACTGCAAACCACGCTCCAGTCCCAGGTCCCAGGACAATGTCTATTCAGTCATTCAGAGGGCTGGTGTCTGGTTTTTGCCGCCACATCCCCAGGACCCAGTGGCGCACAGTAGGTGCTTACTGGAGGGGAATCCATTCTGCAGCACAGAATCATTTTACATGGGGCCTATTTTACTGAATTTTATTCTGTCCAACAATCCTACCCCACACACCCCATACAGATTGGTGCCACCCCATCATCTTTGCTGTTGCAGCCTCACTGTCCTCAGGACACCTCACGCTGTGCTTACGGGGGCTTACAACTGCCCAGCTAAGGGCCTGGGGTGTCACGGTGCCTGCGAGGGTCTCAGGAGCCAGGCTACTCCCACTTCAACACATGCCCCCTGGCAGAGACCATTTCTGAAGCTGACTCTTCTTCCTTCTGGGAGAACTCTTGACTTGTCATCTCAAAAAGTCCTGCTCATCTAGTATCCTTGGAGCTCCAGCCAGAGCCGATTCCGCCCTGCTGCCTGACAGAGTGGGAACGCCCAGGGCTGGATCGAGGGCAGAACGTGGCCAGGGGCGCACGTTCCCGCCCTTCACACTCCAACCCAAGCAGATAAGAAACATCACGCCTGGTTCACCTGATTCTGTCCCAACCTGCAGTAGGGTGTCAATGTGAACAAAATTAGTAATTGAAGAGGATAAATCATAATCAACCCAAACAACACAGACGTTTCAGTCGCTGCTGTGCTACAATTTCATTAACGTATGTTTGGGTCTGTTGCCTATACAAGCAAAGGTGCTATTAAATTTTCATCACTCTTCTGACAAGCATCAGATTAACTTCACTTGAGAATTCTTATTTTCCCCTGCAGGGATCAAGAACTGGTCTCCATTAAAATGTTTAAATTACATACGCTCAAACTGCAGCAAATTTAGACACGCTAATTATTCATCCTGTTCTTGGACGTAAGAACCAAAAGTGATGATGCTTCTCTGTTACGGTCTCTTGGTTATTCCCGTAAACATCCCATTGCTTAAAAGAGGCAGCTCTTCTACGTCAAACCCTAAGAAAATTTCTCAGTGTGAGCTGCCCAAGTTAGAGATGAGCCAAAAAAGGGAAAATGGAAAGAAACAACAGGCAACTATAAAGTAGCCAAATGAATAGTGAGGGAACAGGTCTGTGGCTATATATTATGCAGTAGACAAACACATGTTACATGAAAAGTGGGTACCATTCCAGAAAATGACATCTGACTGGGGCAAATACAATGAAGAGACACTGAAGTACATTAGTTCACTCCAGATACGGAGACGCACTCCTGCCACACTAGTGTGTATGTGTGCGTGCGTGTGTACACACACACGCACACATACACACACACACTCTCTGCTGTTGGTCCCGAGCCTGCCTCTCTGTTGAAGGAAGCGTAACTGGCCAGGAAAGGACAGTGAGGAAGTGGTTCCCGACCACTGTGAAGCATCCAAAGTAAAACTGGCCCTGGCTTCAAAGGCCACACCCGTCCTCTGGGAGACACCCGAGGGCATCTGTAAAAGGCGCCCTCAGGTGCTGCACTCCTGCCCAGCCTCTGCCCAGACCTAATCTCGACCACCACGTGACCTCCAGCTTTCAGGAGCTAGCCTCACTGTGGAAGAATTAGGAGGTAGTGCAGGAGGGACCCGAGACCGAGACTGCTGAGTATTACATGTGCCAGTCAGAGGCCGGGAGGCCGGGAGGGTCTCTGTCTGGGAAACACAACCCATTCTGATAAAGAGCTGGGAAAGCTGGCCTCCCTTTGACAGGCACAAGTGGCCCTGAAGACAAACACAAGCACCTGCACTCATTTTATTTATAAACTTGAAGCTAATGTTTGAACACACACATTCATTTAAGTTAGAATATCCACTTATACCCAAGGTGGTCTTGCACCTGCTAGGAAAATATCAAATAAGCTCAGGCTGGGCCCTTTAGGTAGACAAGCCACCTCCAGCCCTGGGTCGCAGCACTTGTCTTTTGTTCTGTCTATTTTTAAACACACTGTGATAGATTTTAAATGCTTCCATTTAAAAATATAAATTTACATTTTCACAATGTTTGCATTCCACAAAAATGCCATAGAATCGTGTGATTCATAGAGTTTACATAAAATATTAATTCGGAGTCTACACATGTCTTAGCCTAAAAAATCAGCAGTACCACAACATTCGCCGTAGGAACCCGCATAGCTGAAGAAATGAGCATTATTAGGGTCAATGGTGAAAGGTAACGAGATGAGTTAACTTCATGGTTTGCCCTTGAGCGTTGTGTTCAAGACCATCCCTCACCCCCCCCAGCACTATGCTACGACCACATTACAGACACTCTTCCCTTGAGTCCTTACCTGCTTCTGGAAATTAACTTCAGGCAAACAGGTGCTCAACTGAGAGGGGAGGGCTGTGGCCGGGGAGAAATAGGAAGGTGCCGCCCTGTGGAAACACAGAACACAGGTCATGGGAGGAGCCGGGGGTGGAGGGGGTGGGGACCCAGCCGCTGCAGAGTCAGAGCCGGAGCACACGCCCCGGCCGAGGGAGGCGCAACTGCTGGCGGGAAGCTCACGGAGCTGGGCTCTGCCGCGGTCCAGAAATACCTGTGTGTCTGGCAGGCCCAGGGAACCTGCACCAACACCTCTGGATGAGGTGCTGACGGCAGCTCTGCTGGCCTGTCGTTTCCGGCAGAAGCAGGTCAGACCACTCGACACCACACGCCTCCTCCCCTTGAGTAAGTCACCAAGTCTAATTGAGAGCCTGTGCTCAGGGACGTCGTGACCAGAATGAATCACTCTGGGACGGCTGATGGGCAAGTTCCAAACCTGCACAAGATGACGTCTCGCCCACCAAATCTAACACGACAAGCAAGGCACAGGTAGCTTGGCACTCCGCCTCGGCTGCACTCAGTGCGTTTACGTTTGTGTGCTTGGCGAACATCTGCAGTCATATGTGTGAACACTACTAACACAGACTTATGTCACACGCACACATAAGGCACAGTCATGCCTTACTCACAGACCTATAAGCCTGGCCACATGTCTACTTGCCCCCACCATGGCTCTGCCAGGAATCAGAGAACACCGTCTTCTCTTCTTGTGCTTCCCACACACGATCTCATCTTTGGGCCACAAGTACGGGCTCACTGAGCAGGAGCCCTGTCCGCCTGGGCCACCTCCTCGGCTGGAGTGCACAGACCACGGGCCTCTGTGTCCCCTAGAGCACCTGGCATATAATTGGGCTCCAGCTCTCAGCCCTGCAATGAGGAGAGTTCTGAGGACAGCACTCTCAGAAACTGGTTCTGAGGGAGGCGCAGGACCAAGGACAGCTCGGAAACCCACAATCTTCAATGACTTCTGCAAAGAAAGCTGTTTGCTGACCCAAGGGGCTGAGGAAAACATGCTTTCCAGAGAAAGAGGGATTTCAAAAGCCTCCCCTGAAGTCAGACATTGCTCTAAACCTCCGAGTCTCGTACGTGTCCCTTCAACCAGCGGATGGCCCTGGGATAGAGGAGCCATCACCCCCACTGCACTGCCACCTCCTCCACCATCAGACTAACCCTACGGGAAGAGGCCATTTATAGCAATTAATTGCTTTTTCATTCTGCTAGATATCAAAGCACCGAAATACCAAGGAACCCTGGGGAACTTCCCACCCAAGTCCCCACATTCCTTCAAAAAGAGATGAAAAGGGCCTTCTCCCACTTCTGAAAGGCTTTAATTTCGTCAACTACCATGGCCAATTATTGCTCCTGTCTACAGCGCTCAGACTTTTCAGGAGTGGACGGATCTTTGTATCGCAGCTTTAAGGGAAGGGATCAAGAGGACAGGGCCTGCCCAGGGAGGCACAGCCAACTTGTTCTATTTGTCATCTTATACTCAGGTCAATGTTCCCAGTTTACCGAAAAGGAAACTGAGGCTCAAAGTGCCTGGGGCCCCAGAACCAGCGTAAGATGACATCGCCCTCCAGGAGCTGAAGTCTGTTTTCAGTTCTGCTCTGCAGCTGATCAGCTGTGCACCCAGAGGCCGGTCACTGCCCCGCTGTGCACATCACCTCACCATCTGTAAACCGGCGATCATGACCCCATCCCGTCTGCCCACAGTGGAGACGAGATTAGGGCTTCACGGGCATGAGGCCTGGGCAGCCACACAGGACCCCACACTTGGTTTACTGCTCTGCTGTCATTGTCTTGAAATTCCTAATAATTTTTTGACAAGAGGCCCTGCACTGGGTTGTGCAAATTGTACAACTGGTCCAGAATGAGAAAAAGGAGGTCAAGGTGCCTCTCAAACTGTCAAGGGTTCCCAAACCTTAAGCAGAAACTACATGGATTCAAGAAGGATTTACTGAGCAGGGCGTGGTGGTGTGTGCCTGTAGTCCCAACTACTAGGGAGGCTGAGGCAGGAGGATCCCTTGAGACCAGGAGTTTGAGGTTACAGGGCAGCCCTTGGGGCATAACTACAGACCCAGGGGGCTCCGGGGAGGAAAAAGGAGGTGCAGGCCCTAATCTCCCTTAATGCCCCCGAGGGAGTGAGGGCAGCCCTTGCTTGCAACCAGAAATCAGGAACTCAAAGGAAGACAGTCTGCCCAGAGCCCCTGGACCCACACACCCAAAGCTTCTCTCCAGCCCATAACATCCAGAACAAGGTGTTCGAGCCAAGAGTCTCTGGTCACTGGTTCAGAGTCAGTTGCCCGAGGAACCCTGAGGAAGAGGAAGGCACCGCAGTGTGGAGGACGGGGAGGGAACACAGAGCTCCTGCGAGTCAGGCCTCAGGCAAATGAGTTGGGAACGGCCTCTCTTCTGTCCTCCACACTCATGCTGTGCCGTGGAGATGTGGCACGGAGCAACACCAAGTCAAAAAGGAAAAACACAAAGTAGTATGTAAACCAACATGCACACAGCCAAATAAACACAGGGAGGAGTTCTGTGAAATGAGGACAAAGTGTCCCATGCAGGCAACACACGGGGAAGGGACCCGGAGCCTGGCATTTCCTACACATTCCTGGCCCTGCTGTCTGCCAGCCGTGGGGCCGTGGGGACACTGTTCATTCATTCCATCAACAAGTTTATCGAGCACCTACATGTACTGAGATACATCCTTGAAAGCAGCCAAAATCCCCATGTGCATCACACATACACCCAGGGAGGGGATGAGCACACAACAAACCAGAAATAAGCAATGGGTAAACAAGTGATGGGTAAATAATGTTGCATGGAGGAAGGAGATGGCACTGTGGTAAAACCGTGCTAAGAGGAACAGGAGTGTGGGGTGACCGGGGTGGGCCTTCTGTGCAAAGACTGGGGGGTGGGGACAGTGGGCTTGGGAGCAGAGTGGGACAGAGGCCCTGTGGGGGCTGCAAGGGTGGCTGGGGACGACACCCCAGGGGTGGACCAAAGCGGGAGAGAGAGCAGGAAGCTGATCCTCAGGGCCGGCCAGGCCTCCGTGGGAGCCCGCACTGGCCTGCGTCAGAAGGGCAGCCACTGCGAGGCTGGGAGCAGAGGCTGGTCAGACCTGGGGTCCGGCAGGGCCACCTGATTGCTGAGCGGACAGCAGGGGCCGCAGGGTAAGAGCAGAGGCTGTGGCAGGAATCCAGGCAAATCTGCCGGAGTCCTGGGTGAAGGCGGCAGTGGCAGAGGTGTGAGGGGTGCGAGGTGGCCAGGGGACACGAGGTGCTGGCCAACAGCAGGAATGCCAGGGAGCCCACTGCGGGTGTCAGAGGGGGCGACGGTGGTGGCTCCTAGGTTTTAGGGATGAAGGTCGGGGTTCCTATCCACTGAGACAGGGAAGACACAAGTGGAGCGGAGCAGTTTGGGGGACGATCAGGAGTTGGATTTTAGGCAGTTTAGAGCCCTTCCCATCTCTAAGCCTTGGTCCCCTCATCTGTAGGATGGGGGTGATACTGGTACTTAGCTCAAGGGCAGGCTGTGAAAATTGGATAACTCATGAAGAAAGCACTTGGCACGGTGCCTTGGTATACAGAAAGCACTCAGTAAATGCTAGTTACTGTTATGAATGACAGAATGAGATGTAAGTAAATAATTTTTGTTATAGGAGAGGGGAGAGGAGTAAAAATAAACAGTGAGAATTCGAAGGCTGGCAGAACCCCCACTTCTTCTGCCCCCTCTCCCTCTCCCCGCCCGCCCTTTGGCCCCACGTGGCTCAGAGGAGCTACCAGGAGGAGCCGTGGGGGGACTTCACTTCCCCGCCTGCGTGCTGCCCGTATGATCCTCAGCGGGGGGCTGCCCTGCACGCTGTGGATGTTTACCAGGACCCCTGGCCTCCACCCACGGGGTGCTAGCGCCACCTTCCCTCCAGTTGTGACAATCAAAAATGTCTTCTGACATTGTCACATGTCCCCTGGGGGACAAAAATCAGCCCCGGTTGAGAACACTGCTTCAAAGAAAGAGCTGCTATTTGCCATGCGCTGTTCTCGGCTCTCAGGTAAGTGAATCAGTCAGTCTTTCAACAAACATCCTCCTGAGGCTTTACGAATGAGCACACTGTGGTGCCAAGAGGTGACGTGACTCACCTGCGGTCACCCAGCTGGTCCATACCGGAGCAGGATTCGAACCCAGGTTGTCCGGGCTCTTAACCACCCACCCTGTTGCTCTCCAGTATACACGCAGATGGGTAAAAAGTCGCTCCAAGCCAGTGGAGGCCTGACATGCAGCTCCCACTAGCGTCTGGTCCCAGGCAGCACCTCCGGTCCTCCGCGACATCAGAAATGGGAGTGCCAGAGAGAATTTCCACATGCTCCACTCTCGGTAATTAAACCACAACAACCTCCCAGGCTCTTGGGCCTCAGGAGCAACCACCTTAATTAACAGATTCCACACTGCTGCCTCCTCGATCCAGAGCCAAGCTCCACATTCTCGAACGGCGCTCCACCAGCGGGCGCGAGCAAAACAGGTCTCCCAACGATGGCTCTGGTGAGTCAGGGAGTTTGCAGGACGCAGCACCATTTTTAGGGGATGACCTTGGGACAAGGAATTTGTCCTGAGGTCGCCAACCCAAATTCAAACCTGATCCAAAGCTCCTTCCTGCTCCATGAAGCCAGGCGGCATCGCAGAACAACAATGATAATTATTGTTGTTGCTGCGGCATTTTTCCGAGGGCCAGGCATAGAGTCAGTCACGTTCAGTATGTTGTCTCGTTTAATTTTAGTCCTCACAAGCCTGCAAGGTAGGAGTTATGCCCATTTTATAGATGACACAGCTGAGGCTCGGAGAAGGTAAGTAACCTGCCCGAGGCCATGGAGCTCGCACGTGGAAGAGCCTGGATCTGAAGCCATGCTTTCCCTCCACCCTACCAGCCCCTTCTGGCTCAGAAGCTGATAGAAGCATTATCCATTTTAACCAAAATTAAAATAAAAATCCGCCTTACAGGAAAAAAAAAAAGCCAGAGTCCAACCTGCTGCCAACTGGAGATCAATCATAAAAT